ATGTGTACACCTGTTCCTCTGGAGAAATCAGACTCATGGGTTTGGGTCCGTGCGGTGGGTGTGAGATCCCAGGTTTCTTCACAGACGAGAGAGGCTTGTTCCACATCCATGTCTTTCAGTCAGGAAATGTGGACTGCAATCCCACTGTTTAGATTTCATTGGTTCATAGGTATCGTTTAATCTGGCCAGTCCTGGGGAGTTGGTTTCTGCCCTCACATTCAGGAATCATTGTTGTCGATCTGAAAGACAGTCCAATTGTATCTTTTGATGGGAGTAAAACTTTCAGGTAGGAGGAAGTCTTCTGACAGAGGGCAAGACATGAAAAGATTGCTGGGTATCTGTAGTCTATGTCTCATCAATAGAGAAAGTGATGGTGGTCTTGACTCTCAATCAGTTTTTTGTTGTTGTTGTTGTTGTTAAATGCCTTTTGAGCTGTCTCCATGAGCTGAGACCTATTTATATCTTTTAATCCATCTAATTATATAACCTGTTTTTCTAACATCTGAGGTTGACTGGGTGAAAAAAGGAATCTTTTTAGCAGCTGTTTCTCATCATTCTTAAAGGGTCTAGAGAAAATTGCCTCCTAGGTCAACCTTGGACAGAAGGGGAAATCCATTCTCTCCTAGCTGCATTATCGAGCAGTGATCATTCCACCCAGCTGGGTGTGGTTTTTCTATTGCCCAGAGAATGGTAGGTTTTGAGTTTTCCAGTTATATTAATTGCTGATTGAAAATAAACCATAATCCAAGAAACAGGAAAGAGGGAAATTTTCTTCAGCAAACAGGTTCCAAGAGCCGCATGAGGAGGAGCGAAGGGAGGCTCTTACTCCCTCTCTATGTGAATTCCAGTTAGGTGGCAGGGGCCCTTGCCTGCCTCCATACAGGTAACCAGGCCAATCAGGATAGAGTCACATAATGAAACAAGCAAGTGCTATTGGAGCCAAAGGCCTGAGAGTAGGATTTTTGATATTCTGAGACCTGGTGGAACCAAAAGGGTTTGAGTCCCCAACAAGAGGGCACAGATATTAAGCTGGTAGGGGGACATCTTCCACCAGAGAAAGCCACTAGTCAATACATGGAACCTGATGAGGACGAATGGGGTTCCATATTTCAGAAGGCCTGAACCATCACTGGGCCACCTGACTCCAGATGATGCCATTTCACAGAAGGCTCAGACCTTTTCTGTGCAAGAAACAGACATCCTATATGGCCTCATCTGCAAAACACTCATGTGGGCCATAGTGACCAGTGCCCACCATTGCTGACAGCGTTACTATAGCAACAGTAGCAGCCACTGTTGCATCCACTGTGTGAAAGGGGAACCAGGGTACAGTTCTGCATGTGGGACTGAGGGAAGTCTTCCAGGGAGGCAGCTGCTGGCTACAGTCTCGGGAAGAATTATCCCTCTTTCATTTTAGACCTGTTTCTCCAATCACTGAGAGTAACACACAGAGGGACACACGGAAAGACACACATAGACAACCAGCCAGGTGAGGCCACCACACATTCATATCTTAACAGAACAGCTGATTTTCAATGTTTGACTCATGGACACGGGATCGGCAGCCACATCCAAACGTTCTCTTTGTGTCCTTAGACAGAAGGTGCCTTAACCAGACTTAACCTCCACAGGGGACTGACCAGGAGGCCTTCTAAGTGGTTTCCTTTTATGCGGAAGTGTCAAGACTCTTCCCAAGTCTTAGGCAGTGACTGATGAAGGGGTGTCTTGGGGACCTGGGAAGTCTTCCCATTGCGCGCTCCCATGTACTAACCCTGCTGACCTGCTCTGAAGGCCTCATATCCCTAGTGCCTTGAGGTTTGGGGTCTAGCGAACTGAGTAGGATCACCAGAAATGCTGTGACTTGATGGGAGATGCCCTTCTGTATATATGTTTCCCTTATTGGTTGATGAATGAAACACTATTTGGCCAATAGAGGAAGGAAGATAGGCAGGGCAAGAGATGAGAATTCTGGGAGAGGAGCAGAGAGAAGCTGCCAGAGAGATGCCATGTAGCCGCTAAAGGAGTAACATTCTCTGGTAAGCCAAGACCACATGGAAATACATAGATTTGGAGAAATGGGTTGATAATTAAGGCAGATCCAGCCAGTAAGAATCCCTAGTCATCGGCCAACAGTTTAATAATTAATATATCGCCCATGTGTTTATTTGGAGCTCAAGAGCAGTGGGACTTGGCAGGACAGAAACTCCAGTTACAGTGACTATCCATCATAGAAGAATACTCAGAGGTGGGTTTAATCCAGTAGTCTTTAGTAGCTAGCCAGTAACTACACAGGTATTCTGGATCCCAATGTATCCATCCCCAAGCCTTTCTTGGGGTGAGCTTTTAAGCACCAAAACTACTATATCCTGGGTTGAGATACTTCAGTTAACATGAGCAGTTCTCCAGGAGTAGAACTACAAAACCCAAAAAAGTACATTTAGAGACTTTCCCAGAACTATAATCTTTGATGGATCAGGTCTTTGTTTCTTGTGTTGGCTGATACTGCAATCTATGTGTTATGGCATGAATAGTACTTCCATCATGAAGTAGGTTGTACTAAGGTCTGAGGGTCTTTTACAACAATTACCTAGGGAGTTTTTGGTTTTGACTTTCTTTTTGTTTGTTCTTTATATATCCTAGTGGAGACTTGCTTATTGTATACAACTGAATAAGGGAATATTCTATCTTAAGTTGTAAGTGCCATGAAGAAATGACTCTACATCTCATTAACACAAGTGAACAACCATCTGCCAGCATACCAGGAGGCACAATAGATAATTTATTTGTACCAAAATGACACCTTAAAATATATTGTATCAGACACATGAGCTTACCAGTTGTGGAAGATGGGATCACTTCATCTGGGACCATAAGAGGACCACCCCAAGACAAAAGAGTAGCAGACATACTCATTAGTCACCTTGTCACTTATCATGAGCCTCATTCTCAGGAAAATTACAATGAAAAAAAAAAATCTCCGTCTGTCCTCAGACTCTAGGGTGAGTGGTTTCTCCGGTCCTTGGCTCTCAGCTCACTGGACTGACCTCAGGACTTGCATTTAATATCTTTGCTTCTGAGCACCTGCACCCCTTAACATTTTTCTGGTCTCTCCAGACTATTCCATGCCTTTATCAGCTGTATCTGGCCTTCAGCACAGCCTCTTTGAATGCTGAAGCTTCTGTAACCCTTGCTGAGCTATTTTGTATATTTTGTATATTACTGTGTGATATGTTAATGTGCAATGCAAGACTTCATATTGGTAATTAAAATTGGAATAAAAGAGCAGGGCAGTTGTGGCACACACCTTTAACACCAGCACTCAGGAGATTGAGGCAGGTGGAGCTCTGTGAGCTCGAGGCAGCCTGGTCTACAGCCAGTCTCAAAAAACAAAAACAAATTAACAAACACAAAGATTGGAATAAAAGAACCTATCATTGTCATCACCCAGCTACCAAGCAAAATTGGGATTACTTGACGAATTGTAATCAGCAAGACAAAGTTTGCAAATGTATTCTTATTAAATAACTGGCACTATAGAAATGCACACATCCATCTTGCACACTCAGCATCCAGTAACATACACACAAGTCTGCTTATGCTTCCACATAACACAAGGATGAACATACAGTATCCTGCAAGGTGTTATCTTCCTCCAGGTTATTTTAGTGCTGTGATGGCTGTTCTTGATTGCCAAGTTGACTATATCTGGAATAAACTACAATCCCAAAATGGAGGGCACATCATCTGCTTGAAGTGGGTGAATCCACTTCTACTCCAAATCTTTGAGGTAAAAAGACACACATCTTTTCTGTTTGTTTTGCAAGTCAGGGTTTCTTTGTGCAACAGCCCTGCCTGTTCTGGAACTCACTTTGTAGACTGTTGTGGAATATTAAGATGTATTGCATTTATGCTGTGTAACATTTGTTTAATGATGCAAACATGTGTTGCATTCTTTTATGTTAAATTTGTTTAGCTCTGTGAAACTGTGTTGCTTGGCCTGATTGGCCTAATGAAGAGCTGAATGACCAATACCAATAGCTGTGCAGGAGAAAAGGTAGGCAGGGCTGGCAGGCAGACAGATAAATAGAAAATATCTGAGATCAAGGAACAGAGAGAGAGAGAGAGAGAGAGAGAGAGAGAGAGAGAGAGAGAGGCAGGGAGGGAGGGACGGAGGAAGACATCGGGAGCCAAGAGAGAAAGAAAGAGAGAGAGAAAGGAAGACATCAGGGGTCATCCATCCAGCTACACAGCAAGCCACAGAGTAAGAAGAAAAACAGAAATAGAGAAACGTAGATGGGGTAATTTAAGTTAGGAAAAGCTGACAAGAAACAAGTGAAGCTAAGACTGTACACCAATAAGTAAGAATAAGCCTGCATGTGTTTATTTGGGAGCTGGGTGGTGGACCCTCCACAGACCAAGGACCAAAAAAGCAACCAAATATAGAGTAAATCAGCCCCGGCTTAAACTCAGAGATCTACCTGCCTCTGACTCCCAAATGCTGGGATTAAGGTTTGTACCACCACCACCACCACCTAGCCAATTTTGGTTATTTTGTTAAATGTTTTATGGGGAGGTCACCAGAGAAGACCACTCAAGAGTTTATGGCCAATTGAAAGCCTTTATTCCAGCCAGCTGGGTCTACAATCTGGTAGTGGGGACCCAAGTGTAGCCTCAATGTCTAGAGCAGGAAGCTATTAAAAACAAAAAACAAACAAAAATCCTGCTGTCTTGTTCAGCAGAGGTAGAGGGAGGTTTTGCCCAAGCAGGCAGTTTAACAGAAGCCAAAATAAGCAGTTAGCTGCAGATAGAAGTTCGAACATGAAGGCAGTTTGACAGAAGCCAATATAAATTAACTAGTTCTGGTAATAGAGTTCAGTAATTTTCCATGAGATTCTCCATCAAAAGTCAAATTCTAAAATGGCTTCATTAAGATTGCAATAGGGGAGACCCTATACTATCTTGCCATGTCACAAATGTATATTTGTAATGGACAGACAGCATAAATTATAGGGTCTTACCTTTTGAAATTTTTATGTATTGAACCCCTTTCAAAAGTATTCATTAGCAGCTATGTTTTTAACTTCTCTACACAAATAATTAAGGAATGAATTCTCAATAAAAATCCTTTCATATATATTTTCATCAGATTTGATTTTTCCCAGAATGGTATAGGAATGCATGAGGCTCCTCTAAACTATCTGCAATACAATTTGCTTCCATATAAGTTACAGGAATGATGATATAAAGGCAAGAACATTGTAAAAAGCCACTTTATAGAACATGAGCATGAAACAAATATTCTTTCAAGGATTTTATATCTGTTGTATTGTTTGCACAACTTTGTCTGGTACTGTGATTGTCATTAACAAATTAGGCAGAAAGGAAACATTGTGCCTAACATTACAGGAGCCATGGATACTAATGGAGACCAGGAAGGGACCTCACATAATCCTAGTTCCAATAACTGCTTTCCTATATTGGTTTAATACTATTTGAATTAAATTTACAGAATTAACAAGATGAAAGTAAATCAAGACTATGATGGCTACCCTATACTTCTGACATTCAAAGATATTCTCAACAGAGTATGACCTCTGAACAACAGGTTTCCCACATTCTCATTCTCTAAGGGTTTCTTGGCATTAAGAATATATGAATACTGATGTAGACCAAATTCTAGGACAAATTCTAGTTCTTCCCACATCCTTTTCAATCACAGTCTTGCCAATGAGTCCTCTGATGTTCAGTAAAATTTCCATACAAAGACTTGTTTGCCTTCCTTACATGCATAGGACCCCTGATGATGAAGTACTTTCTGATGTTTTATAGGCTCATCATTTACAATAAGGCTTACCCACATTCTTTACATTCACAGGGTTTCAGACCTATAAGGACTCTCTGATGAGGTTTAAGAGCTGAGCTAATTCTATAATGTTCCCACACTCCTTGCATTGGTAGGGTTTCACACCAGCATGGATTCCTTTATATTGAAGAAGGCCTGAGCTCAGAAATTGAAGGTCTTTCCATATTCTTTACATTGAGAAGTTTCATACCAGTATGAATTCTCCACTGTGCAGTAAAGGCTAAAAAAAAAAAAAATAATAATAATAACAATAAACATTTTCTCCAATTCTTACATTCATAGGGGTTCTCACCATAATGAATTCTGTAATATAAGGCTATCTTAGAATTACTGAAAGTCTTTACACATTCCTTACATCCATAAGGCTTATTAATATGCATTTTAGCATGTCAAACCAAGCTTGATTTTCAACTAATGGGATTCGAATATTCTTAGCACTGGTAAGATTTCTCATCAGTGTGAATTCTTTGATGTACTTTAAGGTCTCCACCACGAGTAAAGTACTCCCCACATTGTGTACATTCATAAGGACTCTTGTCAGTATGAATTCTAAAATGCCCAAGAAATTGGTAATGATATTGAAAGGCTTCTCCACATTCCTTACATTGAAAGGGCTTCTCACCAGTATGGATTCTTTGGTGAATTCGAAGGCCTGTACCACGAATAAAGCCCTTTCCACATTCCTTGCACTGAAAAGGTTTCACATCAGTATGAATTCTCTGATGTTGAGTAAGTTGGTACTGAAGTCTGAAGGCTGACCCACACTTCTCACATTCAAATGATTTCTCTCCAGTATGAATGCTCTGGTGCCGAGTGAGCTGTGCCAAAACAGTGAAGGCTTTCCCACATTCCTTACACTGAAAGGGTCTCTCACCAGAGTGAATCTTCTGATGTTGCATGAGGTTTGAGCGACGATTAAAGGCTTTCCCACACTCATTGCATTCATATGGTTTCACACCGGCATGAATGATCCTATGTTCAACAAGGCTGGAGACACGCTTGAAGGACTTCCCGCATTCCTCACATTCAAAAGGTGTTTGACCTGTATGAATGGTTTTATGGTAATTAAGCTGGCTGGAAAAATGAAAAGCCTTTCCACATTCTTTACATTCAAAAGGTCTTTCACCACTATGAAATCTCTGATGTCGAATGAGATGGATATTAAGTCTAAAGACTTTCCCACATTCTTTACATTCAAATGGTTTCTTTCCAGTGTGAATACTCAGATGTTCAGTAAAGTTTGAACGTCTACGGAAGTTTTTCCCACATTCCTTGCACTGATAGGGTTTCACATCAGTATGGATTCTCTGATGTTCACTAAGTTGGTACTTACGTCTGAAGGCTGACCCACACAGCTTACACTTGAAAGGTTTCTCATCAGTGTGAGTTTTCTGATGCTCAGAAAGATACAGGTGAAGCCTAAAAGCCTTCCCACATACATTACACTCAAAGGGTTTCTCACTAGTATGAATACTCTGGTGTCGTGCAAGGTATGAGCCACTACTGAATATCTTCCCACATTGCTCACATTCAAATGACTTCTCTCCAGTATGAATGTTCTGGTGCCGAGTGAGCTGTGCCAAAACAGTGAAGGCTTTCCCACATTCCTTACACTGAAAGGGTCTCTCACCAGAGTGAATCTTCTGATGTTGCATGAGGTTTGAGCGACGATTAAAGGCTTTCCCACACTCACTACATTCATATGGTTTCACACCGGCATGAATGATCCTATGTTGAAAAAGAGTGGAGACACGATTGAAGGACTTCCCACATTCCTCACACCCAAAGGGTTTTGTGCCTGAATGAATGGTTTTATGATATTTAAGCAGGTTGGGAAGATGAAATGCCTTTCCACACTCATCGCATTCAAAAGGTCTCTCACCGCTGTGAGATTTCTGATGTCTTGTAAGTTGTTGGTGGAGTCTGAAGGTTTTCCCACATTCCTTACATTCATAGGGTTTCTCTCCAGTATGAATACTCTGATGCTGATTGAGATTTGAACTACAACCAAAGTACTTTCCACATTCTTTACATTCATATGGCTTTTCTATATTGTGAGTCAGAGTTTTGCAGGTGTAAGGAGGCAGTTTTTCCTTGTTACTAATCTTTTGATCAACATCTCTTTGATAACTCTGTAGTGCCTTGAATGTACTAGAGTTGGGGTCATTACTAAAACTGGAGCCCTGGAGATTAAAAGTTTTACTTAATTGCTTCATGGTCTGCTTGGGTAAATCTATACTATACACATGATTTTCTGGAGATATATTTTCAGCTTCATAGCATGACTCCAATTCTGAAAGAAAAGGAGAAAGCAAGAATACATTATTTTTCTGTAACACACACACAAATTCCTTACACGAACGGCCATACTCTAAGTTTCTGAGAGGCTGAACAGGAGCATGAGAGCAGCAATAATGAAAGTTGGACAGGTTAGAAATGGGAGGACATGTTTGCTTAACTACACTATAACTAACTATAGTGAAATAATTTTACATACTTCTTTACATACTACTGAAAACACATACACCCTTCAGTGAAGGTTTTTGAAAGTAAAGGAACACAGAAGCCAACCCTAACATGATGGCACTGGGTTATTAATGCCTGCCCAAAAGTGAACTGTTGTATCCCACTCATTAGAGTGCTCAGATCTGAGTAATAATTTACACAGGTTCCCTGTGATGGCTAAAGAAACTTAATATGGAGACAGGCACCCCCCGAAGGACCATTTACCTTTTGTGCTGGAATACTTGGGAGAGCCTAGTGACCTGCATGTGTGATAATAGGAAAACGGGCCAGGAAGTATTAACACAGGCTTTTGCTTCAGTAAAACTTGCTAATCTCTCAGGAAACAAACAACAACAAAAGAAACAAGAGACTTGCTTATAACTGTGGGATAGGGTGAAATGGTCTATTTTTACTATATACCAGGAAACAAAAATGAAGTAGCATCTTGCCTTGCCAGTAACTTTGTGTTAGTGGCCACACCCCTTTGACCATGGTTCCAGGCTCAGATGTGACTGCTGGAAGGTAGAAAAGTGTGTGGGGGAATAGGGGGGGATGGCACACTCTTCCTTGGGTCTTAGAGACCATCAGAAGGACAAATACTGCATTGTCTGGAACAGGAACACCATGGTGGTTCTTTACTATTATCTTCATAAGTTGTAGAAAAATCCATTTATCATTTATCTTGGGTCTAGTGAATTCATTAATACCCTGCCTTCAATTGATACCCAATGTAGGGCTGGTGAGCACGGTTAGCTCTGGAATTCCAGCCAGCTGGCCACACAGGTTGCTCATAGGAATCAACTTAGGGAAGAAAAACAATTTTCCTGCCCAGCAGTGGATTCCACGAATAGCTGTAATGCACACCTTTCTGATGTCCACCTTTAAAAACACACCTTACCACCCCTTGTGTACGCATGCTGCTTCGCTCTAACACTGCTGTCCTGCTAGTAGAGGAAATAAATTCATTTAATTTAAACTTGAATTGGCTCTGTCTTTGGTCTTTCTCAACTTATCGAACACAGAGAAGTCAAGCTGTTGCTGACACCGAGCCTTCAACCCTATGTTCCAGATCTTTGGTACAGTAAGGTACTATGCACACTACCAAAAAAGAAATATGAACCAAGCCACCCACAAACCCTTGGAATAACAATAGTGCCCTCCCTACAAAGAAGCTAGGGGCCATGGTGGCACAAAGCTTGTGGAAGTTAACAATCAATACATGATTTGACATAAGGGTCATTCCTTGAGATGAAGCCCATTCTTGACATTCCAAGAACCTGAGACTAGACAGCCCAGGGGCCAAAAGAAAAACCAAATGCTACTGTGTTAAAAAACAAAAGCAAAGACAAAACATTAAAATGGGTCCTAACGACATGTGGCTATACCCATAAATCAGTGCCTTGCTCAGCCATCATCAGAGAAGCTTCCTCCTAGGCAGGGAATGAGAGACCTTGGGAGAAATGTAAAAGGGATGTTCCCATCAAATCCCTCCCATCACGACTCAGGGAACCCTGTGGATGAGGAGGTGGAGAGAAACAGTGTCAAAGCCAGAGAGAAGGAAGATACCAAGAAAACAAGGCCTCTAAATCAATATATTCAAAGCCTGTATGACCTCACAGAGACTGAGGCAGCATGCCCAGGGCCTGCACCACCCAAACAGCACCAGGTCCTTTACGATTAAACTGATTACGTCCTCCAGTTTAGTGTTTGTTTGGGATTCATGAGCGTGCAAACAAATGTGTCTGTCTCCTGTGCCTTCTCTTGGATGCTATCCCTTCTGCCTGTCTATTTTGTCCAACTCCATTGTGTTATTTTTGTTTTAGCCTATTTTATTTTCTTATATTATTATCCCTTGGAAGCATGTTCGTTTTCTAAGAAGAGGGAAATGGGGTGGATCCAGATGTGAGGTGAAGTGGGAAGTAACTGGGCCTGGGCTAGCAGAGGGATGAGAAGCCATAAGCAGCATATATTCTGTGAGAGAAAAAAAAAAAATCAAGTCTCAGTAAAAGTGGAAAGAGATGAAGGAAACATAATAATATACATTCAAGAAGTTTGACATTGAAACGTTCACAAAACTAAAATCAAAACAAAAATGTGCATCAAAATGGGGAAAACCCATAAAGAAAACTGAATTTGTATGGATCCTCCTGAGGTGATAATTTTCTTACTATGCTAGAAACAGGTTGTTCACATTAACTAGGGTTGATGAAAGGTTGTTGTGGATAATATCCTACCATTGGATGCATGAAATACTTAGAATCAAGTATCAAATTAGTGACTTACAATCAAACAGTTTGACAAAAAACTGTTTAAACATCTAGTCGTAGATATAAACACACAACATGAGGCAAAATGTTATCAATTAGTACATTTAGGTAACATTTTTTTTCAGCTGTTTTTATTTGGGGAGGTTTTATTGTTGATGCTGTAATTTGTTCAGGTTTTTGTTCTTATGAGTCCTTTATTTTCATTGTATGTTTCTGTAAACACCTACATACATATGTGTGTATACATATATTTGTGCATATACATTATGTACAACTTGTATATATATTGTATACATATATGTATACACAACAACATGCATACCTAGGGCCAAGGAAACCAAGTGCATCAGGTCCTTTGAAATGGGAGTTATAGCCACGTGCAAGCCTCCATATAGGTGTGGGAGACCAAGTGGGTGTTAAAAGTGAATGCTGAGTCCCCTGTAAGAGCAGCAAGTGCTCTAAATACTGCACTGCCTCTCCAGCCCCTCTGTTTTGTGATGGTCTCGTGTCTAATATGGGATGTCCTTCTGTATGCTGTGAAATTGTGCTGCTTTTATTGGTTGATAAATAAAGCTGATTTGGCCAATGGTCAAGCAGAGCATAGCTAGGCGGGAAATCCAAACAGAGCTAGAAAAAGAAGAAAGGCGCAGTCAGGGAGACGCCATGCAGCCACAGAAGGGGCAAGATGCCAGAATATTACCAGTAAGCCACAGCTGCATGGTTATATACAGGTTATTAAAAGTGGGCTAATCTATAAGAGAGAGCTAGCCAGTAATAAGCCTTGGACTTCTGAGTGACTATTTCATAAGCAGCTGCAGGAATCTGAGAGCGGGAGCGAAACCAGTCCAGGGCCACGGGACAGAGGAAAACAGTCAACTGCACATGTCACCTAGGCTGGCCTCAAACTCAGTATGTAGCTGAGGATAACCTTGAAGTTCTGATCTTCCTGCTTCCACCTCCAAACCCTGGTACCATAGATATGTCCCCTATGTTAGTCAGGGTTCTCTAGAGGAACACAAGTGTCCGTTCTACATATGTGGGGTTTATGACAGTTGCTTACAGGCTGTGGACCAGCTAGTCCAACACTGCCTGTCACGCAACACAAAGTCCAAGAATCTAGAAGTTGTTCAGTCCATGAGCTTGGATGCCTCAGCTGGTCTTGGGTACGTGCTAGAATCTGAAGAAGTAGGCGCTCATGTCAGTGAAGGAATAGATACAAGGACAGCATGGGGGAAGGGGGGGGACAAAATGCCAAGAGCTTCCTTCACATCCTTTTCACAGGCTCCCATCAGAAGGCACAGCTCAGATTGAAGGCGGGTCTCCCCACTTAAAAGGATTAGTTAAGAAAACTCTCTACAGGTGTACCCAGCAGCTTGGGCTTTAATTAGTTCTAGATGTAGTTGTCAATCAAGAGGAACCATCACAGGCCCCATGCCAAGCTAGGCGGAAGGCTGTGTGGCACTCACGGTTCATTGGCTTGCCCACCTATTCCTTTTGAGTCGGGGCCTCTTGCCAGTGGCCATGTGAGAAGGGCAGCAGGTGACAACTGAAGTTTAAGGTGTCAGCCCAACAGGAGGCAACACCCTCACGCGAGTCTGGGATAGGCGGGGCCCGAACCACAGACCCCAGAGTGCCTTTTGCTTCTGCTGTCCTTGACATGTTTGCTGCTGCTGCTTTTTCTTGTATCTGGCACTGAGGCAGCACTCCTGTATGGCACACCTGGTCTGGCTGCAGAGTGCTAGCACCTAGCTCTAATCCATCCTTTATTTAGCAGGTACCTTTTGCTTCCCTTGTGCCCTATACCTGTATCTTGCCTGAGGGTTTCCCAAGGATGTAAAGCCTATGCAAAACTTGGCTGGGGAGGAAACCCAGAAAACGGTGGGTGCCTCCTGAATGGAGAGCTTGCACTTGCCCTTGACCCTTTGGAAGCGTCCTTGCTGCCTGTAATGTGGTGTGCTTAGCTCATGGAAACATTCCGTTCTACGGGGCATCTGTACCTGTATCCATTATGAAAATGTCTTAATCCTAAAATGAACTGTCTGCTAATAATGTTCGTTTAGACAGAGTTTTGATTAGAAATACAAACAAGTTAGTGTCACACATCTAGAACACGTGAGTTTGTATTGAGGAGCCATATAGACTGTAGCTTAGGTCAATGGTTAAGAAAAACAACTGAGTCCCAGTGGCCCAACTAGCTTAAATTCTTTTAATCTTAATGTTGGGAGATGTGTTTACAGGTTTCTGGGTGCATACCTGAAACAAAGCTTTGAAAATAACTTAAAGTTAGACTAAGATGTTTTTGTCAAATAGCTTTGAGATGAACAACCCAAGAAAGTAATCTGAAGTTTCAGAAAGGCACAGTTGAGTGAGGAACTCATTACGGTCAGGGAACAAGAACAAAGCAGCCCAATTATCGCAGGCTGATGTCCCTTTCTGGCTAAGACTGGTTGATGACCTAAAGTGAAGATTAATTCCTTACATCCATTCTTGCCCTCAATCTCCTGATATAAAAAGCCTTTGATGGGTGAGTATGCACACTAAAGATTTAAAGTAGAGCTGACTGATTCTTTTTCATATATAAAAGTTTAGGTTTCTGATTCGTATAAGATTCTTTATCAGATTATCTTTCAAGATAAATAATAGGCCCTTTCTTTGTAACTGTACAACATAGCTTTCCAGTAAAAGACCTTAGTAAGAAGAATATCTTGCTTGCCCACACATATAATCTATAACAAGTTGCTTGCATATGAATGTACATGGATTCTTGGGATGATTTGTTTTTCACCTGTAATACATAAAATATTTAATCATGTAAGGGATATGCAAAACATTCTGGTTTTTTACTGTTTGTTTTGTATTCATTGTAATCATTCACTTGAAAAACAAAATGTAACCACGCTGTAATTCCTATACTGCCTGAAAAACTTTAAGTAGATAGCTGTGGGAAAGAAGAATAGAGAATAAAGAAGGAAACCATCGAGAGAAAATGTGTCTTTTACCCTTAGTCCCTCAGATAAAAAAGGTCTCAGTGCGTGCCGACACTGTGTCGTTCCCTTTGCACCCTGTGCTGCAGGAGGCTGGGGGCCCCAGGCAGCAATAGCCCCTCGTTTGCCTGGAACATGCCAAGTAAAGTAGGCAGAGTTGTTAGCAAGGCAGGGGGGCTGCCTTTCCACCTCCCCCGTGCCACAGGGCGAAGCACAGGCCACACCCTCACACCTGAATAGAGTGACTACGAACACACCATTAATATGTTTGCTGTGCCTCACTGGAGGACTTTGTTCAGAGTATCTTATCATTGGATCAGCCGATAAGAGCACTGACTGCTCTTCCAGAGGACTTGGGTTCGAGTACCAGCAGCCACCTGTAAATGCAGCCCCAGGGGATATGGCTCTCTTTGGGTACCTGCACACATGTGCACACACACAATGATAAAATACATTTAACATGTCAGAAAGAGGGTGACTGCTCCAGTGAGAGAGAGGACGATGGGAACAACTTAGTGACCCATGAACTAGAAGCCCCTGTGACAGCTTCTGCTATGACCTTGACTTCTGCCCAGGTCTCAGCCATGTTCTTCCCCAGGCCTTGGCGCTCTGAAGGAAGTGTGTCAACCCAGTGTCAGGCATGACGTGACTCTCCAACCACATGCTGTGTCTGGCAATGCTGGAGCCCTGCCTTCCTCTTACTCACCTGGGCCGGGCCTGTCTGCTTCTTCCTTCACAACCATCCAGGGCTCTCTCTCCTCCTCTAGTAAGGTGATCAGATCCGGTTTGGAAATGGAACTTCCCACTTAAAAGGAAGAAAAGAGCGATTCATGATGTAGACATTTCAGGGTGGTTTTGCTTTTTGTGTTTTTGAGACCCACTCTCTCGTTATCCCAGGATGTCCTGGAACTTGGTATGTAACCAGGCTGGCTTTAAACTGACTTGATCTGCCTGTCTCTGCCTCCCAAATGCTGGGATTAAACCTATGTGCCACCTTGTGTTGCTTGTGCAGATTTTTTAAAAACAGACTTATTTATTACAAAGGTCTACACAGTTTGGCATGGTGGATCATACATGTAAGCCCAGCAGCTGGGGGAATGAGCCAGGCCAGTCTGGGCTGCCTAACAAGTCCCTTTTATTGCAATAACAGATTAAAACCCATATTAAAAAGCCCCAATCATGCTAAGGAAAGACTTCAGATACAGAGAAGACACCTGAGTAAGAAACCAGCTGTTTCAGAAAAGGGTTTTAATCTCATTTAAATACAGATCAGGGCTTGACACATTAGGGGAAAGTATACACAGCAGGTAAGAACATGAACACTCAGGCTACACTATCTGGTGTAAACCCCATCTCTGCAGCTCACTAATAATGCCATTTAGGCAAGTCCCATAAGATTCTATGTGCAATTTTCCTATGTTAAAAACTGTATGGAGTTGGACGTGTTGGCACATGTCTTATACTCAGCACTCAGAGGAGTCACAGGCAGACAGACCTCTATGGGTTCCAGGCTAGCCTGGCTTACAAATCAAGTCCCAGGAAAACTAGAGTTGTTATACACAGAAACCCTATCTCAAACAAACTAACAAACAAAAAGCCTGGGAATGGTGGCATGAACATGTAATCATAACACTTGGAGGGTGGAGGCAGGCAGACAAAAAGTTCAAGGCCAGCTAAGTTTCATAGCAAGTCCAAAGCCCCCATAGGCTATGTGAGACATGGCCTCCACTGATAATAATAATAATAATACATTTAGATTGAGTTGATGACATCTATTAGGGTTCATACAGAGATTAAACACTATATTCAAATACTTGAACACTGTCTGACCTATAGAACACAAGATCATTATTTTTTTATATCCATTTATGTATGCCGTAGGCTAGGGATGGAATGAGGGTTTGAGCATGCTGAGCAGTGTTCTGCTGCTGAGTTACATCCCCAACCATGAAGAGTGTTAGCATTATTGTTATTTAAATTCCCTTTCTTTCACACTTACAACTCATTCTTACAGATATGCTCAATGAAAAGCACAAATTCACAGCCTGAAACTTCCCTGCAAAGCATGTAAAGGACATGTTTCTTGAGGGAAACAGAATGGGTCCACTTCTGTTTTGAACCTATTCTATTGATTCATTACTAAGATCCTTTTATTTAGTTGTATATGTGTACATGGACAGTGTATGTATGTTTCTTTGAGGGTATGTGCACAAGTATGTGTAGGCATACACGCATGGATGTGTGTATAGGCCACAGAGCAGTGTGAGGGGTCATCTTTGCTTGCTCTCCACTTTGGTTTTTGAGACAGGGTCTCTTTCTGAACCCAGAGCTCATTGGGAGGATCTCCAAGGTGTGGACAAAAGGCAGGTGCTTCATGAAGTTCCTGTTTGCAACCAATGAAACCCCACATTATTCCTTTGGGAAGGAGGAACTCAGCTACAAATTCAAAATTCTATTGATTTTAATTCATTTTATTTTATGCACATGTAAGTGTATATTTGAGCACCACATACACGCATGGAGACTATGAAAGACAGAAGAAAGAAACAGATGCAATGAACTTGGAGTTAGAGATGGTTTTGAGCTACCTTATCCTGGTGGGAATAAACCCAGGCTCTCTGCAATAGCAACTAGTCCTTTTAACAGCCAAGCTATTATGTTTATTGATTTCATTTTATTTTTGTTTTGTTTTGTTTGAAACACAGTCTCATCTTGTAGACATGGCTACCCTGGAACTCACTATGCATCTGTTGGTAACCTTGAACTCACAGCAATATTCCTGCCTCAGCCTTCTGAGTGAAGGAATGACAGGCATGGGCCACCAAGCCCAGCATCAGCTACCACGGGAGAGATGGCCCTGTCTTTCCATTCAGAGTCAGGAAAGACAACAGTGTAGGGGACACATCCCCCACTCATGGGGACAGATGGCCTTACCCACTGTGACGAGGTTGCTGTAGGTCTCCAGCATCATGTCCCTGTATAAGACCCTCTGAGTAGCATCCAGGCAGGCCCACTCCTCCTGAGAGAAGTCAACAGCCACATCCCTAAATGTCACTGAGCCCTGAAACCACAAACACAGTGGAGTGAAATTGGGGAAGCGTTCAAGATGGAGAAACAGAAGGGAAAGGACTCAAGAGTGGGAAAGGAGCCATGGAAATGCTCAAGGTTCAAGACGATGTACGTGACTCAGGTCTTCCTGAACTCTGGAGACTGCTGTCCCCTCCAATCACAGCCTGAGTGACCTCACTCTCTCTCAAAGCTCCTCAAGCAGGTCATCTCCTCACACACATGCACCCAGACCATTCACTCTCAAACCCCGAGTCATCAGCCTGAAAACAACAAAGACGGCAATCGGGATCCCATGCAGTCAAAGGACACCATCACCTCAACGTTCTGAAACCCCAAACACCCTGCTTCCCTGGGGGACCGCGGCATCCATGGCAAGGACAGTCCTCCCTGACCACAGACCAAGCAGAGAGCAGATGTGCAGGAACGCATTCACAGAAAACTCCAGAAGCAGCAGGAAAGAGACACACACAGGAAGTGCTCTGATCTTCCAGCCCTCACTGTGATGAATGGGGCAGCCTGGGCTGGGGATTTCCGGTCCTGGGGAAGCTTCACGAGAGACAGCAGAGACTCACCCAACCTGAAAGTCACCCATGGAAAGAGAGGACACAACTTACACACACCGTGTCTTGAGGACCAGAGCTGGCCATTCTCCTTCAGGATCCTCCCCTGGGGATGAAAGAGAGCCTTTTCATTGGATTGTCACTGATGTCCCCAGACTGACTCAGGTCAGCATGGTCACTGACTACTGTTATTTCTCAAGCATCCACACTCACACGCTCCTCTCCCACTGCTCACAGCCTCCACACACAATTAGGAGCCGACAGGGCTCCACACAAAGCCCTTCCTGTCCTGACCCCAGCAAGCCACTGGCAAGGGCTCACAGTGGACGTGCAGAGCATAAGCACATCTGCCTTGAAGTTCCTCCAGAAGATGCCAGCAGAAGGGATCCCATCTTCCATCTGAGATGCAACTAGGCCTAGACTGTACACTGGAATCCCACCTTCAGGGATGACAGGGGTCACAGCAACTGAAGTGTAACTCCTGTGAACCCTCAGGGCTGAGCGAGACACAGCAGGACTGGAGAGTCAGGAGGGTCTGCAGCTGCAGTCCTCAGGCAGTGGTCAGCATCCTGTACCCACTTTTAGTAAATGGAATCATACACTGTGGAACACTTTCCTGACTACCTTCGCTCATCTATGATTATGACTTTCACTGTATCAATTAAACCATGATTTTTTTTTTTTTAAATGGTGTCAGAGGAGGTGAATGTGATTGATTTCCCACTTTCAACGGCTATGAGATATTTTGCACACACAAAAGAAATCCAAGGTGCCATAAGTCTCTAAACTCCAGAATTGGGTTTCTCAACCTCAGCACTGTTGAAATAACTATTCTGGGTTGGGGTGTGTGGCAGGACTATCTTGTGCTCTGTTCAACGTTCAGCAGCATCCAACCTCTACTCACAAGACCTGAGTAGCACAGACATCTCCGAACTCCCTGAGACATTATCCTGTGAAGCAGCCATCACCAAAGAGGGAACCAGGGCTCTAGCCCATTAAGTCTAATCTAAGCCTTGGTTCAATACACTTTGGGGTTGTTAGTTTGTTTTTTGAGAAAGTGTTGTACATCCCTGACTGGTCCTGAACTGTTAATGTTCTTTCCTCCAACTCCCAAGCTGAGATTACAGCCATGCACCAACATGCCCAACTCTAAAGTACACATCTGATAATCTTATGAAATTACACATTTTGTTTCTCCACAAAATTCACGCACAAATATTCTTTGTTTCTTTCTTTCCTTCCCTCCTGCCTCTGCATACACCAGGGTAACTAGCCTCTCAGGGATTCTCATCTCCTCCTCCTGTCCTGCAATAGGTGGGCTGGGACTAGAGACATGCACAGCTGCGTCTGGCACTGCATAGTTTCATGCTGGTAAGCACTGTGCCCACTGAGCCGTCACCCAGCCCACTTTTATACGTTTCTGTGATAGTATAGTGTGTGACCTCCTGACAGTTAGGACTATGTATGATGAAGTCTGTGATCATAAAGGCCATCGATGAAAGTGCACAAAGTCCCACTGAATGTGGTAGCACAGCTCTACATAGCATGAGTTCTAATAGGTCTTAATAATAAAAGCCAGGAGTCAGATATACTCCAAATGGTGGGTGATGGGGTTAAGAGTGGCTGAGGCTGGATGTGCAGCATCGTGGTCAAGAGGTGCAAGACAGAGATGGTAAAGGAGTCGGGAAGATGCTGACCAAGGGCTACAAAATTTCAGCTACGCAACACAAGTTCCAGATACATCATGCAACACAGTGACAATGACTAATGGTTTTTAAAAGACTCAGCAGATATTGAGTGTGCTCACTACCAAAAAAAAGTGACAGGTAGATTTAGTCATTCCAAAGGACATCAGGGCTCCACATGCTTTACACAATACAAGAAATTTCACCCAGCACTCAGGAGTCAGACACGGGCAGATCTCTGTGAGTTCCAAGCCAGCCTGATCTAGACAGCAAGTTCCAGGACAGCCAGGACTATCACAAAGAGAAATTCAGCCTTGAACAACCCCCCAACACCGCCCCCAAAAAAACCCTTTCATCTCAAAATTCAGACAAACCCTGCTCTACCACATTTTCTTTTACTTCTTGGTTTTGAGAGGGTCTCTTTGTGTAGACCAGGTAGTCTTCAACATGCAATGTGGACCAAGCTGACCACGAATTCACAAACATCCTTCTGCATCTGCCTCTCTGGTGCTGAGATTTAAAGGAAACACCATAACGTCTACCTGTTGTTGTTTTGGTTTGGTTTGTTTGTTGTTTTGTTTTGGAGACAGGGTTTCTCTGTGTAGCTTTGGAGCCTGTCCTGGTTTGTTTATTTGTTTGTTTGGTTGGTTGGTTTGATTTTGAGACAGGGTTTCTCTGTGTAGCTTTGGACCCTGTCCTGGCACTCACTCACTTTGTAGACCAGGCGGGCCTTGAACTCACAAAGATCCACCTGCCTCTGTCTCCTGATTAAAGGGCTTTTTTCTGTTGATTCAACTTTGTAAAAATACAACCAATAATCGTGTTGTTTCTAACACTCCCTTGTACTACAGAAAACTGAAGAGAATGAACTCAAAATGACCACACAAAGCAACAACTAAAACACATCGAGTCGTTGTTATGTACCTGACACTGCTCTAACAGGCTTTACAACTGTCCTTCTAACCGGATACCACTGAGCCACGTCCCCACATTCAACGACAGCACTGCACATCTGGATCTGGCCCGTATTGCCCGGTTCCACACACAGGCACCCTGAAAATTACTAGCCCTCAAGTACACTGAATTCTGTGCTATCACTTTCTATTCCAGAAACCCTCAAAAGTGAACAGAAATTGCCTACCACCTCCACTCTTCCCCTGCTTTGAAAAGAAGGCCTGTAAAGGTCAAAGGTGATGTGTGATGTCATTGACATAATAATCGATTTAGCAAATCGAGATTTGAAAGCACTAAGGCTCTGTAGGTTCCTACCTATAACATCTTGGAGAAAGGGAGTGATGTAGAGAGATGTCAATGATCTCTGAAACGATTATATGAATATTGAGTGGAGAGAGAGGGCCACAACATACCGCTTGCTCACTTACTGACAATTCTATATTCCACAACTAAACCTCATTTCTCAAACACAATGAAGAGCAAACTCACACTTGAATCTTACATGTGTGGCAATAATGTTCGCATTCTTCTCCAGGCCCTCCTTTTGAACAATGGCAGACTCGGGGAGCCTGAGGCAGCATGGGCTCCCAGACTACACAGCCTAGCGAGCACTTCCTTCACTTCCCACGACACTCGCGATGGCTCCAGCTCTGAGAAATGATGGACTCAACAAGTAGCTGCCCTCCTAGGCGGCCCTGGGCGTCCCAAGCTCAAGCCTGGACCCCAGGGACAGCTGCCCTCAGACTGCGTCCCTGACCTCAGGTTCCTGAAGCCTGGTCCTCTGCCCTGTGACCGTGAGAGAGAGCAGGAGCAGAAAGCGACAGCACAGTGACACCGACGATCAGAGCTCGAGACGCGCGTGCACACTCACGCACACGCGCGCACACACACATACTCACACACCACGGTCCTTGCACACTCACACACACACACACCGCGGGCTCCCGCCTCGCTCAGTGAAGAATTACCCCAGGCACTTCCTCCAACCAGAGAGCTCTGACCGTCCGCGGTGGCTCAGCCAGGACACCGGAAGTTGATAGTTTACGTCCTGCGCGGTGGCTCCTGGGAAATATAGTCCCGGCGTTCAGAACTCGAGGAAGGCCCTGGCTCTGCGGGTCAGCGAGGTCCCAGCATGCAACCGGGTCAGCCGGCTCGGGGCCTGCCCCAGTGGTTTGTGGGAGTTCCCACGGGGGTGCGCGTTGAAGGGGGGCTCCCTTCCGGGTTCCGGGTGGCTCCCCTCCCCTCCTAGCGGGAGCTCACATGAGCTCAGGTTTAACGTGCACGGCTGGGGTGAAGTCAGATCGGTCGGGACAGAACTGCTTTGACTACGCTTTGCCTGGGGTCCCTGCAGAAGGATCCCACCTCGCTGTGTGTGCGATGGGCGGCACTGTGATGAATTCGAAAAGTCTGAACTAAAGAACTGGTTGGTTTTTTTTTTAAACGAGTGTAGTTAACATCAGAGATTTCAGGGTGCCGGATGTGCTGGACCCTTCCAAGGTTCTGTGTCCCTGTTAGCTAAACAGACAAACGTGACTGAGGGCCACATCGGTATGTAGCAGAATATTGAATGTTTAGCACATGAAGGCACCCGTAAAAAAGAACGCTTCGGTTTCTTTGTAGGGAAAACCTACTTTGTGGGAAGACGACAGTATGGAACTTTAAAAGTCACTTTTGTTGTTTCATATTTACACGATTTTTTTTTTTAATTCTCGAACGTGATAGGAAACAAAATTTCAAAACAATGCACGTTCCTACTAAGAACGCTAATCGTATTAAATGAATTATAGCCTGCGGTGGTGCTGCACTCGGTAAGCAAAGGCAGGTGGATCTCGGAGTTGGAGGCCAGCCTGGTCTAAAAGAGCTAGTTTCAGGACAGCCTCCAAAGCCACAGAGAAACCCTGTCTCAAAAAACCAAAACATAAATAAATAAATTATAAATGACCCAAATGCCTAAAATATAGATTGTCAGATTAGATATGAAAATAAGTCAGACCCAACCATGGGTTAACTACAGAAAATATGTTAAAGGTAAGTATTCCACCAGATTCAGAGTGACCCTCTTCTCAATAGTCAAAAGAATCAAGTCGATTTTAAAACTGAGGTAGGTTGGGGACAAAGAACATTGTCAGTGATAATAAAGAGGACAATTCATCAAGTGAAAATACACTTGACGGGACATGGTAACACATGCCTTTTAATCCAGCCAATGGGGAGGCAAAGCCAAGTGGATGTCTGTGAGATCGAACTAGGAGTATTTCAGCTACAGCTATAGAGTGAAACCATGACCTAAAATTCAAAGATCTGCTACCTCTGCCTCCTGAGTACTGGGATTAAAGGTGTCCACCATCACCACTCATCTGGATTTATGTTTAAATAAAGTCAGACATCAATCTAATGCATGTTAAGTATGTCTACTTTTGGTTTCATTTGGATTGCTTTAGATTGGGGGGGTTTGGTTTGGGTTTTTTTTTTTTT